AGTTCCCCACCCGTTAGGCCCTTGAGTTACGTCTTTTTACATTCTCCACTCTCGCTCTTTACCCATGCATCTACCGTACTTGATATGTGTGCTTTGTGTATGAAACTTTTAACTGGCTGCTAATGTTCTTGCTGACGCAGGGAGGTAAAAAGAATGTACTAAAAACAGAGGTAAGATTTGTTTGGCATCCTCGCAAATGCTTACATAAATTACTATTTTCTTTTTCCTGCTTGTGACACAATTTTGCCTAAATGAACCACACCGACCTCACATTTTAAAAGCCGTAATGTCTTTCATTCTTTTTCTTTCACGAAAGGGTCCCTCTTGGTTTTCTGTTTCAAGACACAATAAAAACAAGTGTCATGGTGGTTCGCTACCTTATGTATGTTATTTTTGTGTACTTTGTTGTTAATTTTTTGCTCGATTAGTTGTGTGAAGTCCGTGGCTGGTTATGCAAGAGAGGCGTAAAAGGCCTCACGGGACGGAAATGGAGACGCCGCTGGTTTTCAACCGACAAGGATAGCAGGCTCTACTATTATCAAAAAAACAACAACACATCACCAAGAGGGTAAGTACCTCGAAGACGATGCTTCAGATCTGTACTTGCAATCATGACCAAATCTTACAGGTTATTGTCACGAGTAGACTCTATTCCTTTTCCATTCCTTTCTCCCCTACGTAGCTGGCGGTTTTATGTGTGCCATACAGTAGCCTTTTTTAGGACTACCTGCTCTGATCTGCCATCATCATTCTATACCCGATTGACCTACTATGGTTACTATGGTTACTATGGTTCTGCTTTAGAAGCTGTGGCTTGCTTCAGGGGTTCATTCGATAAAACGAAGTGCGACACAACAAACTTCAAAAACAACGAAATTCACTTATTTTAGCAATCAAAATACATATCTAACAATCCCTACCCGCAAAATAAAGAAGTTAGTCGAGGCGGAAGGGAAACAAACATTAAGATAACTTCTTCAATAACAAGTTTGCCTGGACAGAGGAAATGACAAGGAGAGCATAAATATACTCGAACAATGAAAAAGCAGCATAGTAGTATTGGAAAAAAAAAAAAAACCGGGGAGGTTCGCTCTGCTGCTACTATCTACTCCGTTTTGACCGTGGTATGACAATTAGTCCGGTTTAGTGTATCTCTGATAATTGCAAATTTGTTTCTTTTTTTGTGTGTGTGTGTAGCTTTATAGATCTTGATGTAATTATTGCCGTCCAAGACCAGCCTCCCTCACAACAAGACATTAACAACGCTTGCTTCAATGTGGTGACTCCCACAAGAACTTACGAGCTTATGGCGCAGGATGAACAAGAAAAGCTTAGGTTCGAAACGCCTTATTCTGATACTGTTTTGTTTCTTTTTATTCTTTTTATTTACTTGTTTATCTATTCATTCGATATTCTACGAAAGATTTTATCAGGGAGTGCCTCAGGCATACTCGGAGAAAAAGAACTCCGCGTGCTCCTGATAGGAGTCGAATTTCGGGCCACGGTTTAAATAGAATTTTCTATGTGATGCTCTTCACATACGAGATAAACTCAGTATTAACTTACATGCCCACATTTATTTGTTGGGAAACTTGCTGCCTTCTCAGCTACTCTCAATGTTGGTCTCCGAAATGCCGCGTACAAAATGACAGTTGGCAACGTTATAAGCCCCAGAGAGGGGCAAGAGAATAGTGTAAGTGGTGTTTCAACGAGATGTACCGACTAATAATGTGCGAGAGTATAGCCTGGAAACCATTTTCCTCAGATGATCATCTTTTGTTTTTTTTTGGTACTCGGTTAATTGGTCATCCGAGCGCCAAGTCGTAGGCGCGAAGGCTCAAGTCGAATTCCTTTCGAAGAGCTCAGCATTTTACCTTGACCGACACTCATGACGAATATTCGACACCTGTGTTTCTTAAATTGACGACCAAGGTTTGACGTTCGCACGGAGACACGGGACGCTCTTGGTACTGGTAGTTGTATACAGGGCGATTGTCACAAGTAAACCTGGTAAACCTGTGGCTTTACTGGCTGACTAGCTCGCAGCTGAGTGAGTGTCGAATCTTTGTTGGGAAATTAACGTTGTCATAATTTCAGCCTTTGACAGACGTTAAAAACTTCTGCCTTGAGTTTGCTTCTCTTTTTTTGTGGTAAAATTGGTTCGCTAGCTGTGATGCGACCAGGGCATTTCATGGTGTTAAAAATACTTTTGCGTCACATCGTAGTACATATTACGAGGATATTTTGCTGAAAGCATAAAACGTTGTCTTCGTAGATTTTATTCTTGTCATTGTTTCCTTTTCCTAGGTGGATCAATGCTTTGGATTATCTCCGCCATTGGAGAAACCGTTTGGCACCCTCCAACGAAAACAAATAATAGCATCCTCGTTGATCTTCTTATGGCTACCTATCTGTTTCTAAAAGAATATATATAATTTGGAAGAAATAGATTACAGTTCTGAACAATTTATATAGAGCTATTTTTTTAGTCAGAATGAAAGAAAAATACGGAACTTAAGAAAAAATATTTTGTTAGTAGTCCTTTTGAAGATCTCGGGTTATTTTCTGAAATTTTCGAAAAAAGCTGCACATCATTGTTGTGCGGCCAGGATAACCTCGATAAGAAAAGAAACCCCCCCGTCAGACCCTCAGGGTCTGACAATGAAGAGGAACCTTATTTGAAGGCGTTTGCAGAACCACAGAGGGCGCGTGTATTGAAAGCTGTTCCGGAAGTGGTAACCCCTAATTACAATATTTTCTTGGTTAAAGTGGTGCTCTCAATTGGTGATATCATTTTCACTTTTACTGCTTTGAAGGGAGTGATAAGTTACGAAATGAGGCATAGTTATTATATAGATATTGATGAAATACCAGAATTGGGGATAACTACAGAATACAGGGCCACTGAGATCCACCTGGTCGGCATGCTTTGAAGAACAGAGTAGAACACAAAAGGAAAGTAAGGTGATTCCATGAGATGTAAATAAATGGCCTTGTCTTTTGTAGTTTCACCCAGAGTTGCTCCAGTTTCAAAGAACGTGCATTCACCGCGCGCACAGGGGTGAACGTTCTGTATTTACATTTTTACTGGCGAAGATATTTGTGAGTTTAATTGATTTAAAAACATTGCTACGGTTGGATTCAACCTTTTAAGAAGAAAACAGTTTTTTGTGATGTGCACCAGTTGTTTTTTTATGTCAGAAGTTGAAGAAGCTTTACTTGAAGCTCAGTTTATACCAGGTGCTCTTAGAATGTGTTTAAAAGTTGTCTTTCATTTAAAGATTACCCAGCCCGCTTTGCAAAGATGCACATGGACATAGGAAAAATTCTACACTGGTCTGCGCTTGTCTCTACTTTTGAGTAGGATTACTCCTGTTCATAGGAGAAACATATTAATGGAATAAACCATAAAAATTACAATTTCTTTAGTTCCGATTGGTTTAAAAAGCTCCTATTTTCTACCAAATCATTTTTCAAGTTGATATCGGACAGTTCAATAACTCAATCATCCAAACTTTTAGTTTAAATCAACCAATTACAGCCTTGATTTCTTTTAACGCAAATATTCCCTTGCTTTTTCTTTTTTCGAGAATTGTAATTTTTATGTTTACTTGGCAATGAGATTTCGTTTCGTCCAATTCGGTCTGTAATCATACTCGTGATAACCCGCTGTGCGATGGTCCGACTTTGTTATCACTTAATTGTATGATAACAGATAGAAATGGACTCCACTCAGTCCTATTGCCATTACTTAAAGTATAGAACTTGTTTTCGTTTTGGAAACGTCATTTATTTACGCAAAATAATATTAGAAGAAGAAGTCAGAATGCTTCACCATTTACTCGTAATATATTTGGAAAATATTATTTGAGGCCTCTGTCATGTTTCAGTAGATTAATGTATCCGAAATATCCTGTTATTAAGAGAATGCTCGGAAACAAGGAAACTTGAAAAAAGAAACGTTGCGTCGATAGGACGCCCTTGATTATTTGATAGGTAGACCAGCCTGTTTTAATTTCAATACCCATTCGTCAACTAGTTACATAAAATCTTAGAGAAATATAGTCATCATTTAATATGTTCTTTCTATTCTTGCGAGAGACGGGAGTTGGTGCTGTATTCAAAGATTGATGTTCACTTCGTAATCAAAACGGTCTTGATAACAACATAATCCCATCCTCGTCGCCAATGTAATGTTCTGGAGTTCGCTTATACAGTTCGCTTACCGTTCGCCTAGTTTGTTCGTTAGCCAAAAAAATCTCACCCCGTTCTCACTTACAGCGCTTAATAAATACTACGTCTCCTGGGGCCGAGTGCGTGGACTTGGAGGCCTGAACACTACAACCTGAATATAATAGAGCTAGTTTTTTTGACGTTAAGAGATAACTTATTTACCATCAGCCAGTTGCTCATTTCTTAACTCCTCCGCATTAATTGTTAATTCAGGGGATCTCAAACTCATATCACCATAAAGCAAGTTGGTGTCAATAGCAAATAAGAAAAAGCTTAGTCTTTCAGAGGAGGTATAGAACTGATTCCATTTATGAACAACAAGAACAGTACAACAAGAACAGTTGAGGTCCCAAGACTTGTGGGAGATCATGACACTCTCTTCAATGTAGCTGTGCGTGCCGACCTAAGTAATTTGGTTGTCGATCATTTAGATAACCAGATCTTGACTGCTCCATGGACTCCGTAGTGTTCGAGTTTTTGCAGTACGATTGAGTGGTTGACTGTGTGAAATATCTTTTTTAGATAAATAAAAATGCCACTGGAGAATAGCTTCTTATTGATATTATGCGGGATTCTGTTGACATTATTAATGAGTGCATGCTGTGTGGAGCATTTTTACCGAAAACCAAACTGCATGATGATGGCATGATATGTTATGTTTATCCAGAAAAGATGTTAAGCGATTATACATAGGTTTCTCAAAGATACGATTAAATATTGACAGATGGGAGATTGGCCTGTAGTTGTTCAGGTACAATTCATCCACACTTTTGAAAACTGCGATAACTTTAGCATGTTTTAACTTCGAAAAGTGTATACCAGTTTCATTCGACTGCTCAATACAGGGGTGGCCGTTTAATAAGGTGCTGCTTAACACAGAGTCGACTTGCAGTAAGTAAATATTTATCAACGCTTTCCATGTCTTTTTTACGTTTTTAATGTTGCGTCCGAAATAGTTTTGGTAATAATTCATTTTACTAATACGAGATAATTTGGATAGCACTGTTATTAATTTTTAGGTCACTTCGACTGACTAACATTTTTAATTTACTACCTGACGTATGTAAGGTTCTATTGAAGAGCATTAACCAGGCCAAGGCCAAAGATTAAGGCATGTTTCAACATATTGGCATATACGATCACAAAATCAAATTGAATAAACGCCAAGGTCGCTGAACCTGAAAAAAAAAAAAATATATATATATATATATATCAGAACTAAGAGGAAAAATAAAAATAATGTAGAAAAATAAACAAAGTTACTGCCTCATGTCTGAACATGTCGTCCAACTTCCACGGTTTTGTTTTTTCCTGACTTTAAAGACATCACACTACATGGGGTCTCAAAATAAGCACAAGAAAACATAACGCAGAAAACGTAGCTTTACAATGGCATCTAAAGACAACTTTGAAGACATTGAAAGACAAATTCTCGAAGTTCTTTAACACCTGCAGCCGAAATACAGTGATCGACAAGGATATAAACCAAAATTATTAACAGAATGCGACATTAAAACTCCTTCATCAGCAGCTGATTTCTTCTTCCGGTTAGCTCAATGGATAGAGCGCTGGACTGTTGTGCGGGAGGTCGAGGGTTTGAGCCCCGGCCGGACCAACACTCAGGATCTTAAAATAATTGAGAAGAATTTGCTACCTTTCTA